ACACTGAACAGATACCGCTGTGTGACGCAGCTTTTCTCAGCTTGTTTAACTCCGACACTGAAGAGGACTTCGATGAGGTCGTTTTGTTGGACCAGAAACTGTTAAAGAAAACTACCAAAATAAGGTCAGTTATTTGAACCATATTCCTCCGAACTTTAATTCCTAAAGGTTTGCTTTTTATGTTTTGATGTTGAATTCACTTTTTTGACGACAAATTTGGGTGTACTGCTTTTTTTATGTTGGGGGTGCGGCTTATAGTCCGAAAAATATGGTAGTATTGGCGTATGAATATATTTGACCATCTATGTCTCATTTTGATGCTGTGAGGATTGTAGGAAACCTACAATAAATTCAAACTTGTCTTTAAAAATGATTGAAACTGTGTTTTATAAGTGATTTTGTTTGATCGAAGTGGCGTGATGTGACATGATAAAGCCAGTTAAATAAAAAAGGGCACAGACGACATAAAAATGGACATACTTTCTTGAATAAACAAAGAATTTTGCATTTTTTTCAGATAAATACAAAGATGTGAATAGTTTGATCGACTTATTTTCTTCCAAGGTCAACGCAGTCGCCACGTTTGCTGCTGTTTAGTTTGACAGATACCAAAAAATAACATTTGTCAAAGTTTTTCACACATCTGTCGACATATTCACTAAAAAATAACCTACATATTCATAAATACATAAGAAATCTGCTTAAAATACAATGTAAAATACAAGGTTTATATAGTCAAGTGTAACTTATTTATGCACTTGTTGAGCAGGTGATTTTCTTCGGATCCAGGTTTCCCACACCTTGGTCAACATCAAATTCAAGGACCTTTCAAGGACTTTCCAGTAGCAATTTTCTCAAATTCAAGAACCACACACGACGGCATTTACCTGCTACTATCGCAGAACGTTACCAATAAACAGGTTTAATATCATGTAAATTCAATAAAAACAGAATAACATAGAAGAAAGTGAATTAAATGTACACCCTACATTCATATCTACAACACACGGACATGTAATTATGTCCTGGGAGGTTCAGCAGCTCAGTTTGGGAGGAGGGGATGTGAACATGTCCAGATGCTCGGTGAGGATGGGAGGAGCTGTGGTGCTCTCACCTGGGCTCAGAAAGAACGACCCGCCCTGCTCTGCTCTGATTGGATAAAACTATGACCATGGCTCAAGTTATTTGTTGAAAGCCACGACAGTTTACCCTAATCCTGAGTTATCCACCACAACAAATGTAAGTTATTTATTTATTTATTTGTTTGTTTATTTATTTATTTATTTATTATTTTTTTTTACAGATGATGAAAATTAGTCATGTGAATAGAGAACTTCAATCCCCAAAAAACATCGGTAACACTTTCTATTACGGTACCCTTATTACCATGTAATTACAAGATAAAACACGCAATTAAATGTAATTTCTACCTTATTACCATGTAATTACGTGGTAGTTAAGGTACAATTTTACTATGTAATTGTCTGCAGTAATGTAGCACTTACCTGGTAATGTATTACAATTCACTATGTAACACCTAAATAAGTAGTAGGTAATTTGGACAGTTTTAAAGTTATATTTTATTGCAATTAACCACTAACCCCAAAATTTAGTTGTATTCTTTTGGTTATAAATATAGTGCTGAGTTACTATTGAATAGTAATTTGATTGTAGTTGCCCAATAAATGTAGTTTTACTAACAGCAGTTTTTCTTTTGTACCCTAATTACCCCATAAATACATGGTAATAAGGTAGTAATTACCATTTCATTACATTTTTTAATTACCTTGTAATTACATGGTAATAAGGGTACCGTAAATGAAAGTGTTACCAAGACATTCAAGGACTTTCAAGGACAAGTGCAATTTTTGGCTGTTTTCACAAACATTCCAGGGCCTTGAAATCATTTTTTCAAATTCACAAACTTTCAAGGATTTCAAGGACCCTGACGATCCCTTGACCATAACCTTGACAATGATAAACAAAGGTCTGATTCTGAGAAAATTCATACTAAACCTTCCATCCTTAAAAACAAAACAAACAAACAAAATAATAATAATTAAAAAAAGGACAGTTGACAAAAACCATTAAAAACCTAAAAGGAACCTGACATTCATGCTCATGTTGAGAAGATGGGAACTTGAGAAACTCTAAACACACCAGAGCAATGAAACGCACAAATAGATTCATCTTCTCTGTTACTTACCGTTGTTATGTAGCGTGAGTGGAACTCAGGGGCATCCTTCAAAAAGGTGAGTCCAGGATGAGTGTCAACTATGTCCTAACACGACAATAAAAACAACAAAACAAAAGTCAAAGCAAAAGGACAAAAATATGTAAACCCTTGCGATTCTCAAAGTGTTAAAAAGACGCTGACCTGCAGTAAAGGAATAAAGTCTTCCTGTTCCAAATAGCTACAGCCAGGTTTAGATAACATGGAAATAAATCTGGATGCATCATCATGGCAACTGTGCAGCAACCTGCAGAAGAGAGGTGGTGATTTGGGAGATACTTGATCTAAAAACTTAAGAGTTGTGATTCTCTATTTGAAGCATTAAAACAGGTTTGGACTTACTTCCTCCATGTTGCAACAAATGAGTGAACCGACACGAAGCCCGTCCTCTCACCACTGGCTGCGTAAAACATGGGGGCCTTCCAGTAAAGTGGACACCCACACACCTGAACAGAGACACATTAAATGATCATTTCTACACACAAACATGTTAGTTAGAGAAATAAATCTATCTATAAATTCACCAAGTAGGACAATATCCATCATTTTTTAAATAGCAAACAGGTTACAGCTGAGAATTGTAAACCTATTATAAATCAGACAAATCTTTCCTTCTTCCACACAAACAGTCTTCAAATCTTGAAGGTTTCGTGGACCTCTTCTATGAACTCTGATCTTTAGTTCTTTCCATAGATTTTCTG